AGATTATTTCCTTGCCCTTTAGCCTAACTCAATACACTTTCCTATAGAATGGTAAGCATCTGGAATTTGAGATTCCTTGGTTAATAAAAGAGAATTTGTGGCTATCAGCTGACTTGGGAATCTATGTTGTAAACAAGCAGCAGTTTTTTCCATCTGAATTGCAGTGTTTTTTATCTATTTGACAGCTTTTAAGACATAACAGTCCAAACATGAAGACATGAATTAATTACTATTACTATTACTATTACTATTACTATTACTATTACTATTACTATTACTATTACTATTACTATTACTATTACTATTACTATTACTATTACTAATTTGCTGCAAAAGACAATAGGTAACCATCTGACCCCCTATCCCAAGATTCTGTTTGCAGATCAGTACATAACCCATGTGTAATGATTGGAGATAGCCCTTGTGCTGATTCTCTATACAGAAATAAATTTTACTCTGGCTGAACAACCTTGAAGGAAATATCTTTACTTGGAAGATTAATGAATGCCTTCTGCTGAATTAGTTGTTCACCCAAACCCCCCCTCTCCCATGTGTACAAAGAGGATATATTAGAAAGCAGTGGCAGTAACAGCTGTGGTAGTGAGTGAAGGCTTTCCTCAATCCAACATCTGAAAAGGCACTCTCATCTGACTTCTTTAAAAGCTTCAGTTTCACTAGAAGTACATCAGAGGAGTGTGGGCTTAGATTTGGTGACACTGATGAAATGAAAAATTGAGAGAAGGAGTATTCATAATCCAGCACATAGCAGATTTGTGTTTGTGTGAAATCCTGGTTCAAGTCTCATCAAAATTGTATGTTTTTATGTAGACCTGTATTTGTTTTACAAACTGGGATTTTTTATAATGCAAATTATTTAATAAAAAAAGTTCCTGACAAGATCAATTCAACATCCTTACCTGTATTTACCACTCCACAATTTCAATTTAAAAATAAAGTGCTCTGTAATCAGTGGTATATGTGAAGCTTTTGCAGGTTTGGGGTGAGTTCACACCTTGTAGTTGGATTATTCTGCACCTCTGAGGACTGAGCTCTGATCAAAGTGAATGATGGCCCTCCCTGCATAGATTCTCTAGTGTACAGTAAAATACTTCAAGATTTTTCCTCTCCCTCAGTGTGGAACTAATCTGATCTCTTTCTTTTTTATCCATCTGCTCATTTTCACTTATTCAATGCCTCTGAAGATTTATGTTCTGCATCATATGTAATTAACTAACAGATCCAAAATATACTATGTGGGACCTAGAGAGAAAGTGATGACATCATCCCTAAGAAAGCTGTCTAAAAAATAGAGTAAAATTAAACCAATGCAGTACATGCTAAATGAATGAAAACCTGACACCATGATAGATATCAGCTAGTGATTTAGAGATTAGATTTATCATTCCTTGTGAATTTTTCCTAGTCATCAAGGAGGTTTTGGTCAAAACTACAGCCACTATCTTTTCCAATGATGTAGAAGCAAAAATGAAATTCTTGCCAGTGAACTTTGCAGATGTCATAAAAACCGTGCAGTGGTAATAGATGAGGAGGACAGGTTTAGCTCTCCAGAAGAGCATGAATCACATGCTAGACTGTGCCCACATTATGGATGAGAATGTATGACACATTTACCAGTGGTGTTTGTATTTTAGGAAACAGTGACTTTGAAACAGATTTGAGATGAACATGAGCTCAAAATGTGATAGAGTAGCTAAGAAAACAGTGACAATCTTATGTCTAAAAGGAAGAAAATACTGCAGAGTGAGATAGTGTTAGCACATGATGGTTTATTACTGAAAGACTGTATTCTGTTGATCCATCTGTACATTAACAACAAGGTTAAATTGTAGGAAAGGTCCAGAAAAGAATGATGAAGAGTATTAGCAATCTGGGAAATATTCCTAATTCTGAGAGTAAAGTTCAATCTAATTAAGCTCTGGCAGTGTAAGTATACTGCAAGACATTAAGCTAGCGCAGTACTTTGCAAAATATTATCTTAGTGCAGTACTTTGCAAAACATTATCTTTGCTGCTGGTTGCCCACAAGAATGTTCTTTACCTTGTGGACAACACAAGGTTGTTTTGCCCTCAAGGAAAAGAGAGTTAGCTGTTTTACCTTCACTGTGGTTAAAAGGGAACACAAGAACCACTGCTGTAGAGTAACTAATGTAACTAATGCACTATCTTCTTGTTGCCTGACAGTAACTTACCCTACAGTGCCACATTCTCAGTGAATTTGAAAGTAGGTTAAAATATTATGTGGTCAGGACACAAAAGTACAAATGTGGGAAGCTGTCATATTTTTGTGGTCCTTTTAAACCAACACAATCCAGCAGTTGGAAGCTGAATCTGGAAACATAGAGACTGGAAACTAAAACCTAGTTTTCTAGAGAAGTTAGATCTATCAATTACATTTTTGAAGCTGAAATTACAAATATCTCTAAAAGTTCACATAGAAGTTCTGTCTTTGATCCTTAAAAACATCTTGGATTTGATTTGTCCAAGCTGTCACATTATACAAATAATGATATTTCGTTTTACAAATCAATATATTGAACTAAAACATTTTGAGACTGCTTCTGCCTCTTTGATATGTGATCCCTACAGCCACCATACTGCCAGGACTATAAGTGGTAAGAATACCTGGACTGAAAATCAGTGTATGGACTATAGCTGTGCTGATTTAAAATGATCTTTTAGAAATTATGACTTCTTTATCATTACTTATAAATTATGATTTAATCATAAAGAAAGATAAGACATAACCATCTGCAAATGAGATTAAAGTTAGGAAAGACATGCTGAAGTCTGAGCTCTTACTCTTGTGAATCAACATCACAGCATCATAAATTGAACATGAATTGATTGTATTGGCATTCAGCTGAAACGTGAGCTTGTAAACATCTTACTGTCACTGCAGACACAGTAGAAAGGTTGCCCAACATATATGTATGTAAGATATACACAATGCGTGTTTGTATGAGGTTCTTTGTGAAGTATGTATGAATATATACTTCTTCTGGTCAATAACCTCCTTCCCTGGTGCTTAATAGGACATTACACTCATTATTTCCTGTTCCTTAGCAGTTTTTGCTCCTGTTGATGCCTTTAGACAGCAAAAATGGAGATCAACCCCCCAAATCCTAGTACCACTTGCAGTGCTATAAAAGCTCACAGAAATTACACTTCTTATCATTTGCATCCATAGAGGAGTGAAGTTTCAGTGTCTGAAGAGAGGCAAAATTTGCGCTTGGTTTTTAATTTCACTGAGGAACCTTAGGGAAGTATAGCCTACCCTATTTGCCTCAGTCTTTCTTCTTTGAAGGTTAAAATTACATCTTCAGAAACAAGGTATCTTGCAAGCAGGCTCACTTTGGTTTTTGCACACACACATATACATGGATGCGTATTAAAGGACTTGCAGAAAATTTGAGCCAAAATCTGTCAGGAATCAATGTTCTGTCAAAATCTCAGTGCAGAAGCCTTAGACAGCAGCACATTCAGCTTTCCAAGAGCAGGACCTGATGTATGAGGTTAATCGCAAGGATTCATTTTGTTAAGGGATCAGAAACCCAAAGCTGGTTCTATATAATATCTAAATCCCTTAATGCAACTAGCAGAGCCACAGTGCTTCTGTCCTTTAAAGCCGATACTTTCTATTAATTCAAGATACCTGTTCATTCACCTTTCTTTCCAGGCCACTTGCTAAAGGAAGTGTTTTGTGGTTGGAAGAAAGGCAAGCTCACAGTTCAGAAAGACAGGAGATAAACTGCTGACCCTTTTGTAGTCAATAGGACTTTTATCACTGGCTTCTGTTCTGGATTTCACCAAATACTTAAGTACATGAAGTTACATTTCTGAAACTTTTTCTATATATTTATTTTTCAGATGCAAAGGAAAATTAGAAACACCTCTGAACTCTGTTTTCACATGGAGATGAAAAGTTTTCCCAGAAAACACCATGGAAAATTGCAGGCATATGTGTATTGTTCTTTAATAATTTCTATAATATTAATTCAAAGCTCCAGTCTATTGACTCCTAAGGATGATACTTTCATGGACAACTTTAAACTATGCCAAGACAAAATCCTACCTGGAACTCATTAGAATTTATGGTACTGAAAATCTGAATCTGAATTTTGTTCTTTGGTCTAATTTTTATCTAAAAAATCAGCAGAACACATGGCAATCCTGCAGCTGGTTAGACTTCTACATCTTGCTATGAAGGCAAGGAAAATGGAATGGAATGACTTCTGATGGACAATGTGAACATGATATTCCTGGACTAGCCCCTTCTCTCTCTATCACTTAAAATAGGTAGTGGAAGCTGACTAATCACATTAACATTTAAGGGCAGCATTTTATATTAATGGCTGGGAGATATCTTTGTTTATACTATTCTGTAAAGAAATGACCTGAACAGAAAATATACTTTGCATGAATCTCCCATTTATCAGCCTAACAAGCATACACTAACCAGAGTATGTAGAAGTTAAAATGCAGTTTGTGGGAATCTCATAACACAGGCTGTAATTCCTGAAATGGTTAAAACAAACAAACAAAAAATATGTTAAGAAGACAGGAGACAGAATAAATATGGTCAGTTCCATCTGCCACAGAAGAACTACAAGAACTCCCATATGTTTTGAGGCATTTGCTTTCTGTCAACCTGTTCGGTAGTCTATGATATTACTGAAGCAATTATGTAACAGGCATTAATATATTTATAGCAAACAGACCCTGTCTGGCTAAAAACTGAAAATATTTAGGGAAAAAAACATGAGCTACTTATCTGACACACTGATATGTCCTTATCTGTCAATGGTGTTATGTCTGAAGAATGAGATGTAATCAGATCATATGAAGTTTTAGTGAAATGGGCTCATGGTTACAAAATATTTCACTGAAAATGGCCTTGCTGCTTGAAGTATGGTCACAAATATTCCATTACAAGTTGAATGTGAGTGTATGTTAAAAGATAAGGATGCTATCTACATTTACCTACTCTGATCCCAGTTGGCTGCAAAAAGCAGAAGAATCTTCCTGCCACAGTGGTCACGATTTTCAAGTACTCCCGGGAACCCATCTGTCAGAGCCCGTTTAATTCCTGGATCATCAGCTTTGAAGTTCTTGAACATATCCAGATTTAATTGGCGGTACTGGAAGTACTGAGCCAGCAGTCTGAAGGCCTCAGTTTGGTGAAACTTTCTGGCTCGGAGAAATCTCAAGATGAAGGCATCATCTGTACGTAAAAACCCAATGTCAGGTCTCGTGATGATCATGTCCCTGACTTGCTGGATATCCTGATGCAAAATGTCTGGGTTTTCATTCAGTTCCAGACGGGCTTTCTCTATAGTCTCTGGACTAAGTCCAGCTTGTAAATGGGTCATCTCTGCAAAAACCTCTTTTCCAAATCCTTAACTTCAAATATTTTAGCACGAGAAATGCTGATCCCATTCACTTGTGGGTTTGCTGTGAGTGCGAGCCATTCAGAAGCTTTTTGCTAGCAAGCTGACACTTAACAAATGAAAGCAAAGGGCTTTTCTTATTCTTGCAGAGAGAGTAACATGCAGTTCACATGTAGTATAATCCATCCACAGGAAAGTGCTGTTTATTCCATCACTTACTAAAAGAAAAAGCAAATAGAAAGATTAAATATGTATATAAGGCTTACACGAATGCATTTCTGAAATTATAGCAATAAAATTGTTCTGTGTACTTCATATATGAGGATAGCAGTCAGTTTCAGAATGGGTGCATTTCAGATAAGGCAGTCATCTTGAATGCACGTATTCAAGCTTTCAGAAAGGCAATGTGATTAATTGACAATTAATACTAAGCTGTAGCAACTTATTATTAAAATGCAAAGTTGCAAAGTTGCCTTATAGAAGTGTGGGAGTTACAGCATCCCATAGCTTCAAGCCCAGGATGACAAAACCAAAAATAATAATAATTTTTTTCCACCCCTAACTACATTTCAGCTTCCTAAGTACACAGATTTACATTTACCACAGTGAGTATAACAACCTTTTGATTTGGTTTTATCATCTGTACTATCAGCTTGTAGCTTTCCTTGAATTAGCCCCTGAGCTGACTGTAAAACTGATATAAAAAAAAAAAAAACAAACCCAAACCCAACAACAAACCCCCCAAAACAACTCCACCAACATCAGGGATATTTTCTACTTGGTAAAGCCTCACTGAAAATATTTCCCATTGATACTTGATACATCTTCATGGGAAACTTCCCATGAATAAAATGTTTGATAAATCTAATCTGACAGGATTGGTGTTTTAGTTGAAAAGAGATGTATTTTATCATAAATTCTTTTTTTCAGCATCTTGTAGCTTTCCTGAATATCTAGTTCTGAATTTCATTTTCATTCCTGTACTTTACCTAGAATTTGTTTTCACAAGTGTTACAAGAAAAGCTGCTTAAACTGTTATGTATGAACAAAATGGTACAGCGAATCTCTTATATTTCAGTGACATAATTAGCAAGAGGCTGTCATCGAAGTATGTGTAGTTACACTTGTGTGAAATAAGATCAAGGTCTGTTCCAATGTGAAATGTGTGTGAAGGAAGATCAAGATCCTCCCAGTTTTTCATCTGTAAAAAAAAAACAGACAAGCAAACAAAAAACCACATTGCCTAACTGATCTCTCTCTTTCTAATTTCTGAAAAAGAAAAATTGGTTTAAAAATTAAAAGGGAATCTCTCAGTGAAAGGCATGCTTTATTGTACTTGAAGAAAGCTGTTTGGAAAGTTATGAATTATTTATAGCAAAATAACCATTTCACTCAGCTATTCCCCTGGGCTCAGTGTTCTCATATCAAACAAAGGGGACAGCAGCAGCCAGCACATTTCTTCATCCAGGGGCTGCTCAAAGTTACATTGCAGGACCTGGAAGTCAAACAGCACAAGGGATGCCCAAGTTCCCTGTTTTGTAAGCTTGCATGTCATTGATAAAAACTACGTTTTTAGATGCCACAGCTGCAGCCTCAGGATGAGATTCCTAAATTTGAATACAGACAGTTTCTTCATATTTGCTTAAAGGAAATTTTTGGCAGGAGATAAGATTTTCATTCAACAGCATTAAACTTGTCTGTAGGTGATACAAAGGAGAGGTTGTTAAGCAGCTTCTTTCTGTATTCACTGTGGAGCTGGAGATAGGAACAGCTACCTGCGGGGCAGCATAACTGCTGATTCATCAGCCTGGAAAAACTTGGAGAAAAGCAGAGCCAGGAGGAAAGAAGGCTGCCTGCCTTTGACAAGTCACTACGGAACACAAATGACTCCAGAAAAACAAGCCCTGAAGTTTTGAGGGGATAATCAATGGGTGCAGATTATTCAGTTCTTAAAGAAATGAGAGTTATATTAAAGGTGGATTGCACACATAAAAATAAAGTAATGGTTATTTACTTTCTTCTTACCTTAATTAGGCCAAAATAGGATAACTCCGATGGTATCAACTGAATTCCACTGACGTAAAATTGATGTAGGCCACAGGAAAATCAGGCCAATATTTTGTGCCTAAGATCTCAAATTAATGCTGGCATTAGCATTTTCTTGCATAAATCATTATTTTATTTACAATTGCCTCCATGAGCTAGTTAAGGAAGCTCAGTGTATTTAGTGTGACACTGTCATTAGGGGAGTGTAATGTAAGGTTCTTTCTCTCCTTTTAACAGCAAGTCGTACCCTAAGGAGGCTGTTTGTGTTCGAGGGTGACCAGCAGAGGGGTGGAAGCAAGTACCTTCTCTGAGGTCTCTATCACCTCTGGTTCAGGGTTCAGTATGAGTTCAAACACCTTTGAAGCTCCTCTGACTTAGAATTACGGAATCATAAAATCACAGAATGGTTTGGGTTGTGTGAGGCATGCACTTGACCCCCTTTAACCAAGCCAGCAGCAGTTTAGTACAGGCTTCAAAGGAGGTAAAAGCCTGAGCAACAGCCAGGCTGAGAACTCCTCTACAAAACCCACAAAGGAGCAGAGGTACATAGTGAACACTAAAGAGTTGTGGGTACAAGGAGTCTTGTGTATACCTCTCCCATTTTATGCAATTTGACTATGAGCCAGCCACTTTATCCCATAAATATGACAGCCTAAGTAAGCCTTCTTTGGGCTCTCCCTGCTAGGCAGTGTGGCTGCATGGTGATGATCTCCCTTTGAGCTGGGACACGTCTCAAGAGTGCTCCTCAAAGCAAGGAGAACTTTTACCAACAACAGATCGCTGGATGAGCACAATTGGAATCCTCCCTGGGCAACAACTGGACTGCACACCAGACAACTCTCCCCTTCAGCAGGGACTCTTCTCAGTGTTAAGAGATATTAGTTGTTTAGCTTAAATAAGTAAGTTTTAAATAGAATGAATCACTTAGAGTTGTAATATTGCTTGATTTAGTATGCTTTTTCCTTAGCTTTACTTACTTGGCATGAGTAGCTAGATTTGCTGAAGCCTTAAGCCTCAAGCTGTAAATTTCCACTTAGATTTACTGAACGTGTATCTACTTAGTCAAACAGGGTCTCTGGAACCAGTGTAAATAAGAAGATACAGAGGCTTCAAGGCTATAGTCATCAACAGCAGCTGCAACTAGACAAGATAATGGCCTGTCTGAAGACAGCGAGGGAATCCAATGAGGAACAAGAAGACACCAGACCCAAATTTTACTACTGGACTGAACAATTGGGTGAGGAGCAGATGACTAGTCTGTAAGGGTACAATTTCTCAGGATTTTCTTTTTTCTTGTTGGGGGCCCCTCCCCGGAGACACAAGCTGACCGTGCTGCTGTACCACTCTATTAAATTATTTATTTTTATACAATCCATTTTCTGAGGGTCTGCTTTGGGAAATGTAGGGTTTGAACTTTGGCGCAGACAAACATTGGATGCCCAGATGGAAGGTAAGTGAAGTGGGAATAAGCATAATCAAACTTTGAAATCTTAGCTAAGTGATATAGAGAATCAGGTGTGCACATATAATCCTTTAGCCATGAAAACACATAATCCCCTAATCATAAACTCTTGATCAGGTCTGGGACTAGGAGTGGATCCAGCCACACTTAAACTCATCTCTGAGAAGGAATTTAGAAAGCAAGGGAGTCCATTCTGAACCTGGTGACTCAATGGGAGCGTCTCCCTTACCTTTCTGCACCTCCAGTCCCTGTGTAAAGAATTTTAAATTGATTCTAACTGGATTCTCCCTCTATGTTTCTTCTATGTAGGAAGTAATAGAGTGAACCTTGCCATCAAACTCTGTTAAGTCAGACTTTTATCTAAACACCCACAACAGGTTGGAAAGGACCCCTGAAGATCATCTACTCCATCCCTCCTGCAATGAGCAGGGACATCTTCAACTAGATCAGGTTGCTCAAAACCACATCCAGCCTGACCTTGAACACATCCACGGATGAGGCATCCACAACTTCTGTAGGCAACCTGTTCCAGAGTCTCACCACCCTCACAGTAAAGAATTTTGTCTTTATATCCCTTTGAAATCTTATCTTTCAGTTTAAAACCATTAGCCCTTGTCTTATCACTACAGACCCTGATGAAAAGTCTCTTCTGTCTTTCTTATAGGCCCTCTTTAAGTACTGAAAGGCCACAATAAGGTATCCCTGAAGCCTTTTCTTCTTCAGGCTGAACAACCCCAACCCTCTCAACCTTTCTTCATAGGAGAGGTGTTCCAGCCCTCTGATCATTTCTGTGGCCTTCCTCTGGACCTGTTGTAACAGGTCCAAGGACTTATGGCAGCTAACTGTGAGCCTAGTTAACTGGGTTCACCTATTTTCTGAGCGTTTATGGGAGTAGCACTGTCCCTTCCTCTGCTCCTTTTCTGACTCCCATCTCCACAAAAATGTTTCTTTGGAAATAAGTTAAATTCTTTAAAGGTTAACTGCAGTCTACTGCAGAAGAAAATGGGGTTACACCAAGGCCAGAAAATCTGCCCCTTCAGATTTTCTTATAGGATCCCCAAACATTTAGTGACAAAAATGATGCCACTTACTAACATTAAAGTTTCCTACAGTATTTACTTTGTTTAAATGGATTAGTACCCTTCATGCCCAGGATGATCCCAAGGTGAGGGAGATACAGTCCTCTCCCATCAGACGTTATTGCTAGAAAGCAACTTACAAATACTCAGTCCAACAAAAAATACATTTTTTAATGCCTTTGAGAGTTTTCTGATAGTGGGATGAGCTATAACCATGGGTTACAGCTTACAGGTTAACCTCTAGTTATCCTGGTTATCAGCCAGAACAGACTTTTCACTGAAATACTTTATCGGCGTAATGTTATATATTGCAAAATAATCCAAAATATGTATGAATAATGTTGTCACTATCTGAATCACAACACAGATCATGGGGTTAGTAATCCACTCTAGCA